CCCCTCCCCCACACTTGTTTTTTCATGGGGGGGAGGCATACTTTGAGCCATTGTTTACATTTCTATGGGAGAAATAATATCATAGTCATTAAGCACATAAGGCTCTGGAATCAAAATTCCTAGGTTCCGAATCAAGGCTCTTTCGCTCACTAACTGTGGCAAGTTTTAAACTTCACTATATCTCAGTCTCCTCATCTGTAAAATGGGTGTTCCAATGGTGCTTGTGTAAGGGAGTTGTTCTAAGGATTAAAGGAGATAATATAAGATAACCTACTTGAAAAGGTACCTGGCACTTTAGTAAGCACTTAATCAAAGGTTAACTATTATTATACCACCTGGCTTTATGCCTGGTCTACCAACTGCACTGCTGAGATTCCAGTACATTTTTTGTGATAAATGTTCTGTTTTACTGTATAATAATCTATATGTGTGTTTTTATCAGAGTGTGTGTGTATATATGTGTGTTAAATATAATTTATTAATGAAAAGTTAAATTAACTCTGCAAATTATCCAAAAGGGTTAGCTTACCTCCTTGTACAATCCTAGAAAACAATCTAAATAATAACAGCCTTAAGGATTTTTAGAGCATGTATATCTTTATGAGTAAAAGGGGTTTCTAAAATACTAAAAACCCAACAGGACAGATGGTAGGCTCCTCACTGGAATTTCGAGTAGAATTATGTGAAATATATTAAGTAAAATGTTGCCGGCCTCTAGCTTGCTTCCTTATTATTAGAACAAGAACCTCTCATTGTCTTTTATAATCACTGTTAACAGCAATAAACACAGACGAGGTATGTCTTCTGTGGAAGACGCCGATGAGTACTGGAAATACAAGGAATAAGGCATGGTTCCTGCCCTCCCGTGTTTTATATTCTAATTGGTCAAACTGGACAAGATCTTGAACTCCTCAAGGTCAGGAGCTGTATCTTAACCACCTTTGTTTCTAGCACAGTGTTTGACACATGGCCAACGGCCAGCAAGTTGTGTTGAATTAATAAATGAAAAATTGCAATACATGATTTGGGAGGTGTCAGGAAAAGGAAAAGTCAGTTTTGAATATGATTAGTTAGAACTCGAGTTAAGACTGTAACTGACCTGAAGAAAAAATAGGGCTTCGACACCAGAAAAAGACTAAGAGGCTGAAGCATGTTCAGGGCTATTGAATGGAGCAGTGAGCTGGGGCTGTAGGAGGAAGCGGAACGTGAGGCTGGGAATAAGGGCGGATGGGACGCTCTGGCTTGGCCAAGGAGGGATTCCTTGATTCTCTGGGGAATAAACAGATGTGAAGGCCTTTGAACAAGTGGTTGATAGACACGGAGAAGTGTTTTTAGGACATTCGTGTGCGATCGCAATGCGGAGAGATGGGAGGAAGGAGAGAAGTTAGAAGGCTGCTTGTAGTGGTCAAGGCTGACCCAGGGCCTGCCTGAGGGGCGGCGATGAGGGCCGAAGGCAAGGGGTCAGTGTAAGGTCTTAGGAGGGAGGAACTTAGCCTGTGGCTGGCTGGATGTGAAGGGACAGAAAGAATGAGGAATCCGGTCCTGAGTGTGAGTAACTGGAAATAACGACGCCCCTGACAGTCGGAGGCGTCCCAGGGTCCACGTGCGCTAGACAGCAGTTCCAGTGCCCGCGTGTCGCACTGGAGGTGGCCGAGGGACTTCCTGGTGGAGACTCTCCCAGAGGCAAGCTGGAAATGATTTCCAGGAGGAACCGAAACAGGTGTTAAGAAGAGGGAACACGGGCAGAGCCGGGCGTCTCGGGCTAAGCGTAAGGCATATTTAGCGTATGGCAGAGAAGGGACGGAGAGCACCAGAGAACTCAAGGAAAGGGGGTTCAAAACCAGAAGTGGTGGTAACGTTAACTACTAGAGAACTCTCGAGAATAATGAAGATGCAGCACTGAAGAGAATGCATTTTTAAAAAATCAACAAGTGGTGAATAAAGGATCA